AGAACAGAACCTGTGTCAAAATGCTGGCCAAACAGCTCACTCATAACACAGCTCCCTAAGTGCACGTGATGACTGCAACTGCTGTAATATGTGAAGGCTCGCTGGTGGTGAGCTGAATCATCAGGTACTGCATCACGGAACTTACACTATTTCCTTCCACAAGACAATGCTTCTTCCAAATCTAGAGAATCATCTCCATGCCCCTCCCCCACCCCTCCACCCCCACAAAAAGCAAACTCTTCCCTTCTCTTGTGTAATTCCCATCCAAATAAACCCTCACACACACTCTTGCTGCTCATAGTTCTGCTGGCCTGGCAATCAAATCATGACAGACATTAAACTAAACTCACTGGGTTCCTGAGAGCCTGATCTGGCTGGGGTTTGCCAGCTGTGGAGCAGGATGTGGCCTAAGAGAAGGGTGGGGAGCTGGAGGAGGAACCTTCCCTGTCCACGGGTGGGGGTGGAGGAATTCCGCTTTGCTCTATCAGGAAAACCACTCCCCACTCAGCACAAGATTCAGTTTACAGCTCACCCAGGCTAGGTTTTCCTCTCTCTGAAGGAACAGTTGCATAACTCTCAGAATGGGGCTCTGATTTAGGAGAAGCCCTTTTAAATAGCCCACCCTGGGTGGAGGATCTTGCACTTAACACTTGAAGCCCTTTGATAGGCAACATTGAAATCATGTAGAAAGTGTGTTTTCCACCATTACTAACCACTTCTAAAATAGTCTGTTTTTCAGATTCTTCCTTCCTTTCTTCACCCTCTGCTGTTTTTCTCTCAGCTTCTAGTGGAGCCAAAGGTAACAGAGGGACTGACTTGCTGGTTCTCCAATATAAACAACCACTGGCTTGAGGAAATGCTGCTGACTGGTTTACATATTGCAGGACCAGCAGGGGGCGCTCATCCTCCAGCTTAGTTGTCCCATAGCTCCTACATTATGGCCTTGGACTTCAAAAGGCTGCCACTTAACTGATACAAGTGGATGCTGCAGTCTTTGGTCACCATCTTGGGATGTGGAGTTAGCAGACCTAAATCTGAATTCCTCTTCTAACTTCAGTTGGCTATTCAACACACTGATTGACTAGGACTAAGAAAATGCATGATGTTGGCACTACTAGCGCTATTACTGCTGTAGGAGGCAGAGTTTGGAAGAGTCTTCAGAGGTCGCCATCATGACTTAGGTAGTGCACTGGTGTTAAGTTTCCAGAATAGCTGGTAAAAAGAGACACCTTGGTGCAAAGACTAGCCCAACTTCTCCTCTGGGCTTTGTTGCTACCCAGCCTGTGGTTCCTTATTTCTGCCCTGAGATATAGCACAGGCACAGGAAGGTTCAAAGCTGGCCATGGTCTTTGTCTGGCCACCTCTCTGAGTCCCTTCTACTGAGGGGAGTAGAATTACCTTCTCCACAGGGCTGTGATAAAGATAAAGAAATCACTAGTGAAACTTGTGAGCACCACACCTGGCTCATTAACTGGTTTGATTTTGTTAGCACCACCTATCACACCAAGATCCAAAGGAGCCTCAGTCATTACAAAGAAAGGAGAACAGTGCCCATAAATGTAAATGTAGGCAAAGATTTGGAGACTCTAAATGCGTAAGTTGAATTTGTTTATGGACCTTTAATTATTTGTCATTTTGTTGGCTTCTTTGACGTTAATGTTCATGTTTAAGGTTGAATTTGAGACAGTATAACCAAATTTGTTTAAATGTACTAGTTGGATTTATTTTAGAAGGCTTTATTTTTTCCTGCATTTGGTACAAAAATACAGTAAAATTAAGCATAAAAGGCCACAAAAGGTGTCAGCGCCAAAGCCACCCCTTGCAGGCTGCAGGGTTTGCATGTCCCCTTGGTCCCGAAGCCGCACTACACGGTGGCTGTAACTGCACCGCAGAGAGGTACGTGAAATCACGCACAGCTGTGTGAAGCTTGGGAAGCTGGCGCATGAGGCATCACTGCAATGCTTTAAATTTTGCTAATTCTCCTGCTTCAATTAGTCAGTACCTTCCTCCCCCCCACCCCCACTCCCAAGGGTCACTCTACTTTCTCCAGCACAAGAAACATTCTCAGGGCCCCCTCCTTCCACTAAGATCACAAACATATGCCACTCATAACCTGCCTTGTATTCATCCGTATACACTGAAGTCATGTGTGATTTACTTCAAAATGCGTGTGATCTATGAATATTAGAAGCCTTATCAATAACTGAGGCTGATGTAATAACTTCACAACAGTGATACAGTTTTGGTTGGCATTATCTGATAAGATGTAATTTAAAATCATAATACAAGTCAGAAACATCTATCATATGTTGGGGAGGTATTATTTTCTGAAATTATATTTCATGAAAGAAAAAGTAATTTTCAACTGTGACGGAACTGTTATTCTATGTAAGCATTTAGTAACACCTGAGGCATTGTGTGTGTGTGTGTGTGTGTGTGTGTGTATGCTTTTCTTCCCTAGCAGAATGGAAGCTCCGTGAAAATGAGGCCTTAGTTTCTCGTGCTGTTGCATCCCTCACATCTGAAAGAGTGGTTGGCATGTTAGTAAGTGCTTAAAAAGTTAAATGAATTCCAACTTCTCTCAGTCCCCAACACACATCCCTAAAGTAGAATTATTTTCTTAGGAGGCCCAAGTGTATTGACTCACACCAGGCCTTCCATTCACTTCCCGGCCTTTGAAGTCATGTGTTGGAGTCCAATCTATAAAGCCAAGTCTTTTCATTCATCAGTAAAAGGCCAAATCCAGTTGAACTGCTCAGATTATTAAGTGTAATCCTGAATGTGCTTGACAGGTCTCTGGGTTCTACTCCAAGGACTTGGTAGGTCGTTTTATCTACACACTTTCATGTATTGTTTTATATACTCAGAATCATCCCCTCTGAACATTCCTCCCTTTTTACCACCACAAGCTCAGAGACAATGGCTGCCTGTACAGCCCTGGGTTCTCTCCCACCCCTAACCCCCATGACCTTGCCCAAGCAGGCTGCTCATAAATGTTTGTAGAAGGGACTGAGTGAATCTCAGGTGATTCAAAGTGCCAACAAGCCCATTAACACTACCAACAACAAAACGAGGAAGGGGGCATTCTGAGTCCTGATAGGTTCAAAACTGAACTGGACAGTCAATGAAGGGGCCGCCATAAACTTTAATTAAAACCCTTTTCATTCTGATAAGTTATTCATCGTCTTTTAACCACAGGGGACTCTTGCTTTCCGGTGTCTTAGAGTTTTCTTTCTAAAACGTGGCCACACACAGAGAGAGAAGTTTGCTCACAGAGGAGATATAGATTTATCCCTTGATTCAAGAGAACATTAAAACTGGTGGTGGTTCAGAGGTCGTACAAAAAATTAAGACTTGGGGTCCTGTCTCCTTGCTTCCTGGCTGAATATCCTGGGCAGGTCATTAAAGGTTCTGGACCTCAGTTTCTTCATGGGGAAGTGGGAACAGAATTGACTTCCGAACACTATGGAGCTGGCATCAGCTTTGCAGCCTTCTGTAGGCAAACAGGGTTATACAAATATGAGTTAGGGAAAATAGAGGCCAACCTCCCGTCTTCAGCCAGAAGATGACCTACCTCTCCCGGAAAGTGAGGCGCTCACAATCACAGAGGGAGTCTGTTCATTTCAATGACACAGAGATAGGGATTTTAAGCCATCATCTGCCTCTGTGAGCCCAGTGACCTGCTTTGCACCTTCTTCATTTTGCCTCCTAATTTTGAAGCAGACTCTACTTTTTTACTAGCTTTCAGACTTCACAACGTATACACAGGCATGTCAGGGGGTGACACATTGGCTCCTGCAGCCCCCACTCTGGCGATGGCTGGCGGAAAGCCCTCCTCCACCATCACCGGCTCGCCACTGAGCCCAAGTGCAGACACTCCTGGGGGGTCACCCCTGACTGGTTAGTATCTCAGCTATTTATAGCACACGGTGAATGCTCATGACACGTCTTGCTTGTAAGAGAAGGACAGCAAGGTGGCAAATGCACAGAGGATGGGATGAACTTATGTGCTGCTGTCGGTAGTTTGAGATCAGTGGAGAAAGTGGAAAGGAGTCGGTGAGGATCCCAAAGCAAACGGACGCTTCCTTCAGTTTGTGCCTTGGCCTCACCCCACACAGATGCAATGCTCAGGCTCACAGCCAAAGGTGGGAGTGGAAAAAGGTCCCGGGCTTGTTGGGCAGAAAGGAAGGAGGCTTGCATATGCATCTGAAGTGATGGTCTGGCTGAGAAACAATGGAATGATGGGCACTCAAGGGGCGGGGGAAAGAGGAAAGAAGAAAAAGGACAAACAGGGTCCACATACCGCATTACTGGTCTTTAAGATATTATGTGCTTCGTGTCCCACATCAAACTGTTCAAGTCCACTTTGTTTCTTCTCCGTAAGAAGATGACTAGCTATCTTGTAAAAGCACAGACTAGGAAAAGCAGTATAGAATAGTGGCTCAATGTTTGGGTTTGAGCTTAAGGACATGAGTTAGAATCTCAAATCCATCAGTAAAGATCTATGGGATTCAAGAAAATGACTTAACCTCTCTGCTTCCTCATCTATCAATCAGCACTAACTCTTAAGGAATTTTTGTGTAAATAAAATGGGATGTCTATCTGTCCGTCTCTTTCTCTCTTTTTCGCTCTCTCTCACACACACACACAAACACACACACAATTTTGCATGGCATCACCCATATGGCAAGCAGGGCTCAATAAATGTTACCTGCTGCTCCATTTTACCAAATCTAAGAGCTTGAGACCCTTGCCTATGGCTTCAGTGTTCCCTGGAGTTGGAGATCCAGAGCACCCAAAAACATTTAGTTTTAAAGTTCTACATAGTAGCAATAGAAATATTTCTTTTTGCTGAACTGAAAGACTAGTTGGCTATTATTACCCAGACCCATTTTCACACAGGTTATCTGTCAGGCACCAGGGAAGGGAAAGGTGAAGGAAAACGGGGACAAAAAGGGGGAAGGTACTGGGACGTGGGTCCTGGCTTCAGTCATACTCACCGAGTCTGGGTCTCGCTGCTGTTCGAGGAAAGCTGAGAATTCCACCAGGCGGAGTTTGGTTGTGCCAATGGAGCGGCCCTGCCAAGCAGGGACTGAGGGAGCTGGGGCCGATGCAGGTTCAAACCCTGAAAGACCAACGCCATTTTCACACCTGGCCATTCGCCTCCCTTGGGGTAGGGCTCTACAAAACAGATGACCCAGGACGAAGGCCAGCAGCCCCTCTAGTGTCTGGGATGGAGCACTAAGCAGTGGTTGAGTTCTGGTCAGGCTTCCTGGAGGCAGGGGCCAGCAGGCACACACAGTCCTCCTACTGTCAGTTTCTGCGTGGTTACCAGCTATGGCACGAGGACATCTGTCCCTAACAAAGGGGACCAGCAACAGAATAAGGCATGGGTGACTGAGGAGGCAGAAACAAAGGCCTCCAAAGACCTCCTGGAAGACCAGTATGAGCCAGGAAATTCTCGTGTTTATCTACCTCCTTTCTTAGCTATGGTCACCAGCACTAGAGGTTCTCTCAGGGCGGCCCAGGGGACTCTGTCTACCCAGACCAACTCTGTGTGCATGTGGGGGGACAGCAGGTCAGAGTCACAGCTTCTAGTTTGGGTTCCTAGCAAGCTCTCCTTTTAAGAAAGAGAACTTAAAATACACTTATCAAAGAAAAGTTGACTAAATTCCAAGTCTGTCCTCTGGCCCATTGCAGTCTGCTTATGAGGGGGCAGAACTGCAGCAAGGAGGGAAACTGGTCAGGCTTCCTATTCTTTAACAGTCCATCTGAACCGGAAGAAAAAAAAAATCCATCTGAGAAGCTCTCAGAAGGTGACCAAGGGGCATGGGGAGTTAGAAGGGGACCCCCTGTATTCATCTCAGCTTCCAGCTAACCTCATCTTAAGAAGGGTGATGGTAAGGAGGGGACTTCAGGGCCATGCAAGTGAGGTGGAACATTGGGGCCATGGACTGTCCATTCAGGGCTTCCTTGAGGTAGTCCCGAGGAGACTCACCTGGAATGGGGGCCGTGACTGCTGGCTGGATGGGGTAGGCCTGCTGCACGAAGGGCTTGACGCTGGGAACAAAGGGTGCAGAGGGTCAGGAAGCATGGCCAGAGTTGCAGCTATTCCCCACACCGGACTTGGTCTCTTAGGACCTCACACCCAGCTGGGGCCTCACTATAAGGTTCCCTCCCTGTTGGAGGAGCCAGTCACTGAGGAACTGACCCTGAGAAGGGTCAGCAGGGTGCTAGGGACCCACCCAGTTCCCAGCAGTTCCATGGCCCAGGCTGGACACACACCAGCTGGTCAACTCGGCATGCTGTGGCGCCTGCCTGTGAACCCTTCCCTGCAGAGACAGAGGCCAGTGGTTGCCATTTCCACACAAGGTTTGGGGAATGCTTCATGTTCTTGTTCTTCAGGCCAAAGAGCTCAAGTTCTTATGGGGATTCTACAGGCAGGATTTCCTTTTTGCTTTTATTCCAGGCTGTTCTTATCTCCCAGTTTGCTAAGCTTGCTTCCTTTGCCTTCAAAGCATCAGAATATGTGGTCTACACGTGGTCCGGACCTCAGGGAAAGTCAGGACAGAATGGGTGACGGGGCACCCCTCCGTCTCAGGTGAGTACTCCTCAGAGAGACCCCAGGCTCTGCCTGTCAAAGCCACCAAGACTAAGCCTGTGGAGGGCGCAGCCTCCCTGTTTCCAACTGGCTGACTATTACCACCGAGGGAGGAGGGTACGCCTCTCGGTCTGAGTGTCTGCTCCTGGATGACAATGGCACATGACTTCAGCGTCTCTCGCCACAAGGCCTTTCTCTCCTCAAGCCCAAGGCAGACTAGCCCTAGGCAAACCCTCCCCAGGATGGCCAGTGAGCAGTCCCTGTCGTCAGTGCCAGCCCCTCCTCAGACTTACTCTTGTGAGGATCCTGGTTGCCCTGTTTGAATCATCCCCGGCCAGAACTGGAAGGCAAAATGCAAGAGGCTTCAGGATTATGCATTCACACCAAAGCACAGTTCAGGGTGTCTATACTTTGCACCCTCTGCTAGAGACAGCGGGTCAGATCACCCACGAGCTGTGGAGTGAGCGTCCTCAAATACAGACGTGGTCCCAGTTGCACATGGTTCTGACCCAAGTCCTTGCACTGACAACCCCTCTAGCTCCCTTTAACTTCTCTTCCTGAAAAGGGACCAGTCTAGCTAGCTCTTCTCCTGGCACCCAAAAGAACTCTGGGTGCACTGGAGGAGACTCACAAAGACTCTGACTGCTTTACCCAGGCAGCCACCCATCCTTCTCTCAGTCCTTCCATTCTAAACACTCCCTGCCTCCATGGCTTACAGGGTAGAGAGGCCCCAGAAGGCAGGGACAAAGCTTTAAGCAAGAGGCCCTGTGAGCTTCCAAGCCAGCGGTCCGGGGAGCTCCAGAAGCAACGCAGACACTACCCTTGCAGCGGGCTGTTATTGCCTGCTGGCCCCCGCTGGACAGGCGGCCTGGTATGCAGGGCGTCACAGCCCTGGGTTCGAGTTCAGACATCACTAACCAAGTGATTATGATCAAGATCCCAAAACCGTTTCTGTTACTTAGTAATCTCAGTTTTCTCATCTATAAAATGGTGGTAACAGTAAGAGCACTGAAGATGACTGTCAGAATTAAATGAGATTATAACATTAAGCTTCTCAATCTGTGGTAGGTGCAAAGTACTAATGGCAACAGACTACTCTGTCTCTGTAAAGGCCAGTAGTTATGAAGGGACCCTGGGGACACTGGGGCAAGGACCAAGGTACAGAAAAAACAGCAGAACAGGCAGATCACAATCAGAGAAAGAGCCAGTTCATACCTGAGGGAACTAAGGACTCCTTCCTCTTCCCTTCTTTGCTCCTTCGCTTCCTTGTTCCCAGCCCTTGCTTTTCCTCCCCCACCCCCTTGTTTCTTGTCCCCTCTCTCCCTGACTTACCCCTGGTGCCCCGGGGAAGGTGGGGCGTGGAATCCCCGGCAGCCCCAGCTTGTTGTGAATGGCAGTGGCTGAGACAATCTGGGCTGATGACATGGCGGCCATGTGCTGCAGGGCCTTATCCTTGGCAGTCTGATCCTTGGGGGTGACAGTGACACACAGACTTAGTACAGGACGCACGGCTACCAGGCGGCTTCAACAGGCACAGCCACGAGCACAGGGACTAAAATACAGAGCCACGGGAGAGGCCAGAGAAGCAAACATGCGCGGATAAACACAGGCAGAAGGCTACACACGCTCGGCCTACACTAACGCTCAACAGTTATGGAGACACCCAGTAGCAAGGTTTAAAAAAATATTTTTAAACCGTTTTCCAGCAGAATGGGAAGCCTCTGAATAGAGGGGACAACGTATTTTTCCAGCTTCCAACAGGAGATTTTTCCAAATACTTAACATATGCGAAGGAAGGAAAATTTCAAAGCCCTGCTTTGAGGCACACCGAGGGAGGGAAGATGAGAGAGAGGCGGTGGGTCTGGGACAGGACCGTCCCCCGCAGGCCATAGATAGCCCCACGTACGGCTGGCATTGTGACGCCCACAGACGTGGTGGGGGAGGCTCTGAAGCAGGGTGGGGGCGGGCAGAGGGCAATGGTGGAGCCAAGCAGCATGCTGGCGGGGTGCATGCTCCCCCAGGTATCCCCGCCATGGGCCTAAGGCACACCGGTTCTCCCTAAAGCTGAGGACACGGGGCGCTACAGGTGAGAGGTCTCTCCCTTTCCTAAATGGTCCTTTTGTTTTTTCTTTCTTTTAGGAAAAGCCAAGGCTGATGACACAAAGCTAGCCAAAAAGTCTGCCAAGCACAGCTAAAATACAGAATACTCAATTTGGTGAAAATACTTACCATGCTTGTTACCTGGATACAATAATAAACAATTTGTTAAAAGGATTGCGTACAAAGGCAGGGTTATTTTTCTTCTTCAGTTAAAAAAAAATATGTATGCAAACAAATAATAGTGGGGTATAATACGATGTGTAGGAGTGTGGGTTTGTTTTTCACATTTTAGGAAGACTCACCCAGCTAGCTATCTAGAAAGGCAGCAGCCATGGAAAAGGAAACTCAGCTGTTTGGAGCTGGCTCTGTCATTTCCTGGGACATGGGGAGGAACCTTCAGACCCCCGGGAGAGACAGGGGTCTCCTGCTGGTGCAGCAGGGTGGCTTCTGGCTGTGAGTAGTCTGTACAACACCAGGCCAGGCTCCACCCCAGCAGGAACTCGACTGTGACCTCAGAAAGAGAAGAGCGCCCCCTACAGCCCGTCAGAGCTCAGGGAGTCAAGTCAGGGGAGGCTTCCAGCTAAGACACTGAATACCAGCTGAGAGGTGGCTTCACAGTTACAGATTTACCCAGAGGTGATGAATAAACATGCGGAGGTGCCAAAAGCAAGGCTGAAGAGGTTAAAAAAAAAAATCAAAGTCTATACTACAACTACAAAGAACTTCTAGGCAAGATCAATTAGGTGCTCCCAAGGTGAAGACACCATTTTACCCTTTGACTGCCAGGAACGCTGGGTGGATTTGGAAAATGCTTATAAATAACCCTGGAAGAAGAATCCCACATGCGCAGGAAGGAGTTTTTATATTATTTCGTAAATTTCTCTCCCGCGTGTAGGGGCTTCTCAGGCTGCAGGTGGTTGTGCGCATTTGTAAGGGCAGGCGCTGTCACTGAGCCACACCTGGAGGGCCCCTGTATGCTGGTCCCCCACGGATGGGCCTCAGGGGCTTCAGGGAGACTTCTGCCACTGTTGGAGGGTGATCTCCCACGTGGGCCCACAGGCTAATCTTCTGAGCGCACTCTGCTGCTAGCTTCCTCAGAGAACTTTTACTTTCTGAGGTCGGAAACATTTCAGATACTGGAGATGCCAGGAAAATGACACATCTGAATGTTGGGGGAATTTTATGAGACACAGATCTCACTGCCCATCAAGTTACTCTTAGGTGGTGGAGGGGCCAGTTGCTCCATCATCCTCTCGGACGGACTCCCTGTGTCATGAATGGAAAGCACAGCTCCAGCCACACTCCCTCTACTGTCAAGACACGAACACAAACTTGCTTTTCTCTTTGGACTCCAGGCCCCAAACCCCTTAGTCCTTGAGAGGGTATCAATGCTCTTGGAGCAATTTCTGAAACTGTGAAGTAATGGCGTTGGTGTGACCGCGGGGTGTTGGGGGTGGTTCTCCCCAACAAGGAACCACCTGTCAACCTCTCTAGGGCCCACTCAGCTCAAGGGAACCTGGCGGCAGCAGCCCAACTCCTTGCCTGGCTGGCTGAGACAAATTTCTGAGGACACGGCTCTATTTCAAATGCACCCGAGAGCACTGCTCTCACACCTGGCTGGTGTGCTTACGAGATGCTGCTGACCAACAACTCTGCTTGCCCAATCACAGAGGATGCCTCTGTGCGCTAGGGTGCTGTGGCCCTCCCATCCAAATTCCAGGTCCACATTGAAGTCAGCTCCCTGCGTCTCCACAGCCCACGCTTATTCTACTAGAGTTGTGTCAAATGTTTCCCTTCACTAGGCTTGAGGAAAAGTTTTGCAAAAATGGTCAACAAAGTATGATACTTTCTTATTTAATAGGAAAGTCAGTCAACAAGGGAAGGAGAAGCGTCATCGTCTCTGTTGTTTAAGTCACACAACTTCAGAAGTCTTTTTGTTCAAGTGAGGTGAGGGCTGCATCTCTGATTACCCAGCTTTTCTGCTAGGATCCCAAACAAAAGTCCAAAGCCGGAGAGCTACCAATCGTATCCACTGTACTCACTTGCTCGATGCCAACAGTCTGTGTGTGCAGGTGCCTCAGGGACTTGGGTTCTAAACCTACCCCTGTCTGACTCTGAGGGTTGTTCCACCCCACCAAGTCATTTACCCTCTCTAATTCTCTTCAGCTACAAATACAGCTGACCTTCAACTCTTCTGTAACTGTACCTAGGTGGATTCTACTGTAAGTAAATACATCTTACTACATATAGCTAAGACCAGTGAAAAGATGGCAGGATATTAACTTTGGGCCGCTCTCAACTATCTGTCCTAATAGAGAGAAAGCCAAGTGTAGAAAAGAAATTTTACCTCAAGTAGAAGTTCTTTCTGTGCTTGACCTACCTATTTGAGAATAGGCAATTTTCTGCAAATGGACTAAAATGTCTGTTCCAGTGATTTCCTCCTTTTTGTAGAAAAGACAATTTGACGACTCACTTTTATAACATCTGCCCTTTATCTATGATACATATTTGAAAATTAAAAGGATTAAAATTTTTTTGTTCAAAACAGAAAGGTAACCCTGCAGATAATAAGCACCACAAAGGAGATCTCAAAATCAGAACTGAGCCTGGCTGTGAGACCCACTCATGCTGAAATGGGAGTTCCAAGGATGCTGAGATGAGAGATTTCAATGGAAGGATCTCTAAGTTGCCATTTGCAGCCCAGAGATACATGCTTGGCTTTGAAATAATTTTAACTCTTAGTGTCAGAACTGAGTAAATTGCTTTTCTGTGTCACTCTAGTCTGGACTTTCCAACTTTCTCACCACTCACTCCTGAGACTAAAGGGGAAGATGTCTGGGGGGAGTTGGAAGGAGGGAAATAAATTTGAAATTTAAGTGAATTTAAAATATAGGCTACATTTGTACACCATATTAATTTTATTCTACAATGTTCTTCACACCAGTACTTCTGAGATGGGGGTGAGATTTACAAAGAATGAGCATGCTGCTTTATCACGAAGGACTGTTACTTTGGCAGTACTGCGTTACAGTCTATGGAGGCTTAGCTTACAGGACACTCTGGATGTGTGCCTCTGCGTATGAGGGCTTGCATGCACAAGAAAGATGTGTGCCAGGAAAGCACTCAACTTCACACTGACTTCTTTCTCTCCCCTTAAGATGACAAAAAATGAGGTGAGGCCACAAAAAGCTGAATGCTTGGGGAGTGGGTAAAGAGGGTCAATCTCCATTTTCTGAGAGAATCCTAACTCAAGTCCATGACCTGGAATGTGGAAAATACTATGGAACAGAGAACATGGATTCGGAGTCTACTAAAGGGGAAAATAATGAACACATGGTCCAGATGACCAAGACCAGGGGTGAAGTACCCTACCTTTGGCACCTGTCTCCTCACTCAGGCTACTTTCTTTACTAATTTTGGGTGCATGCTGTCAGTCCCCTCACTGTCTCAGAGACAAGGTGTCCTCAGGCTGTGCCACAAGTAAACTCTCAGCCTTCCAATCTCTCAGTTTCACTGAGTAAACCAGCTTCCATAGTTCATGAGCAGAGCAAGGGCTGCCACAACACTGGGTTCCACTGACCACCTCCACTTTTTATGGTTGAAATAAAATGTTTGGAAAACGTCTACATGTAATATACATGCACACGTCTGGGTGGAGTGCTGCTCACCTGAGATGTTTTATGAGTCAGTTCCTGGCTGCTAATGGAATCTTGTTTCCCTACCCCTGGCCCCTATGCATCCTCAATCATGTCGTGAGTTTTAGGCATTTGCCATAAATAAATAATAAAAACAATATAAAAAGGTAGTAACATGCTTGAATGTAGGATATTACAGTTCCCATGGGCTAAACATTAATGAAAAGTAGACCAGATCAATGGATTCCCAACAGTTTACTCAAGGACTTTATTTTAGAATTTAAAGGAAAACTCCAATCAAATTTATACATAAGGAAGCCTATCAGTACATCAGGAAAAATATCAAAGTTAAGAAAAAGACCATGGATTCAAAAACTTTTCATAGTTATTAAGAATCTCCCGCCCCACCCCATATACCTTCTCCAGCAATATTAAAAAAAAAAAAAATCAGAGCAGGGGAGGAAAGGCAATCTGCTTGCAAAATCACTTTTTCAAAAAAAGACAAAACACAAACTAATAAGTAATTTTGCAGATGTTGTTTCTAATCTTGCACGGAATGGATTCACATGACCTCTTCCATTATTAGTGGGCGCTCCTGAGCAGATAAACATCACAAAACTCTATGATGGTTTGGAGAAAGGGTGGAGGGCACTTGAATTTTTCTAGCCATGATCTCTAATTTGCTTATTATTAGAGAAAGCAGGAATAAATACAAAAGGGGGCTACTGCGGTCAGGCAGTAGCCGATGCTGTGGAGAGAAGGCACATTCATACTTCTCCAGAGCTGCTATCTAATGAGGAGCAATTAATTCAGCTCATTGTATGTCCAAATGCGAAAGACTCCATTCACATCAAAGGAAAAATTCTCAAGGCTTTTATCATTGTTCTTTTTTTTAATGTATTGAGCTATATTTAGTATTTTATAATTGTCAATAGTGTCTCCTTTAATTCCGGTGTGAGGCTTTAGCACCCTAAAGGGCTGTAGATGAGAGCCCTTAGTTCTGTTGGGGTGCCTTCTCACTCTCTACCAGCTCAGGGCTTAGGACAGTCAAGGCCAGGTCTGTGCTCTGGGGGGAAGACGCCCTGCGAACCTTAGCTCCCTTTCCTGTGGGAGGTAACAGAGAAGCAGGAGGCAGATCTACCCTGAGAGGCCAAAGGAGACCAAGCTGGTGTAAGCTCCAGTTGAGCTCTAGAGGGAGTGCTTGCTCCCACCACTCACCTTCCAGTTTAATTCAGGCACAGCACAATAAAAAGCAGGCTCCTTTAGGGAGACAACACAGGCACATCTCAAGCAGGGAAATGAGTGCTAGTCCTCAGCCAGACTCTCTGGGGAGGCAGCATGCCATGCTGACTGTAGCGCCAGGGAGCCCTGGGCCAAAATTCAGAGCCATGACCCTGGGTAAGTGGCTTTGGCACTGTTGGCCTCTACTTGCTCATCTGTTACGTGGGGAGAACCACATCTGCCCCAGAATGCTCAGTGCTGAGTGGAGGTGGGGGGCGGGGGCGA